GACGTTACCTACACCTGCTGATTCACCAGGGCATGCTTATTTTGTTCTCTGTCTCCTATTTCCTTAGTAACAATCCATTTGCTTGACTGGACTCCAAACACCTACTCATAGTCAGGTCTTCCCGTTAATTTACACTGCGTCTGACAAAGGATTATCTGGAACCTACTGCCTGCACACTACTGCTGGGACCCAGAAAAACAATTGATGGGGTTAAAAAACAGTTTCACATATTAAAAAAAAAAGTAATCTGTGAGCCACTGAAATTTAAAGGCTGCAGAATCGCTTACAGAATTTCTGTCTACAAAAAAGATGCAAGCATCTTGGATACCAAAATATTTGGATGAGAAGCAGGATTGCCCAGGATGTTCTGATGGACTGACTTAATTAAATCAAGCCAGATACAAGTCAATATCCAAGAGCTATGAAAATCATAAACATTGATTTGTTATCAGAGCAAACAGGCAGACAAGAGAGAAACTGCCCAGGGTGGGCCCAAAGCAGGGCAATTTAATGATGCCAAACAAGGCAGCCAGAAGCGCCGTTCAGCTAACTCCAATCTTCTGTTTAAGGTAAACTGTCCCCACGGACCACAGGAGGAAAGATGAAAATCTCTGTGAGGATACAGGCTATTGACTGAGCTTGTAGCATTTGCCGTTACTCTCCGCTGTTAGCGTGGAGACGTCTGGAAAGGAACAGCATCCTCCACGGCGCAGCTTCGCCAAGCTAATCCAAATTCGAGTCACAGTTATACTAAGGCTACCTCAGCCCTTTATTAACGTCTGAGATTTAACATCAAGGCTTCCGTCACGGGAAAGATGGCAGCTTCAGTGTTTAAGATGTATTAATGCTTTCCTTTGTGGAGCAAATCCCTCCGAGACGAGACACCTCATGTCTCGGGCTCTGCACATGATCAATGACTCCAGGCAGGCTTGGGAAAGAGCAATTCCCTTCTCTGCATCAGGGAGGCACGCCTCCGAGCGCTCAGCCGTTTCACTTTAAAAGAAGGGTTATAATGATTAAACGGAATATGCCTGCTACCTCCAGCTCACTCTTCCATTAGTCAGACGTGATGATTTTTAAGAGCACCACACGCCGCAGCTGGAAACGCTAATTCTAACACATCACGATGGAAGACAAGTTTTCCCTGGACGAACCAGAAGCCACGTAAATAGCTCGGTGACACAAAGTGTTTAGGCGTTTTGTTAAAATGGTTCATAAGTTAAGACAGTTCAGAAGCCAAAATGCTACTGTTCTCCCAAAAAAGCACACAAACAAATCAGATTTTATAAAGCAACACTTGGATTTTTGCTATAGCTCTTTCAAACTGTTTTCAAACACAAGCTGAAAATAAGCAAACAAATGCTTATTTCAAGGCTCTGAGCAACAAAGACTCGAAAACATTGCCACAGACGAAGGGAACTCGCTCAAATACAGATGCATTTTCCTACATCTGCGTTACAGCACACAAATGCCCACCCCACGGGGCTCCAGGCCGTTTATCAGGAGTGCGCTGGGGACCCAAAGCGAGGATTTTCTAACGAGCGGATCAAGAGCAGGGAGGAGAGCTAAACTGCAGGCTACGAAGGTTAGAGGGAGCTCGATTAGTGATACGTAAAGGGACACCGCCAAGACCAGGCTTGATACCCGAGCCCTGCAGGGACTGAATTTAGAAGGCAGAGAGGACAGGCAAGCGCCGTCCTCCGCAGTGTCACGCCAAGGCAGCCAGTCCCCAGCACACTTTCTGCATGCCCCGTGCCTGCTCCGCAGCAAGTGTCAGTCAGCACAGTCATCTACACCTTCGTGGAGAACACCATGCAGCCCAGAGCCAAGACTGACTGCGGGAAGAGCTCTTATCTCCCGCTTCAAAGGAAAGGGTTAAAATCAAACTCAGAATCCAGGAGTCAGTGTCCTTTTAGTATTTTTTTTTTTTTGATCCTGTAAACAAGCAGTCAGTACCTGTGTCTGTGGTTCCAACATAAAAGCAGCTGAAAAGAACAGAAGAAGGCAAATAAAAGTCAAACCGGTATCTCCGGTGAGCAACGCCAGTAGAGAGGGAGTGTAACGGAGGCAAGGAGGACAGTTAAAACAGGACAAGACATTTTGCAGCGCAGGTGTGGGACCTACCACCACCACCACGCGCTGAAGAAACCACCGCAGTCCACGGGGACAAGCGCTGCCCTTCACTTACTTGAAGTACAGGTCCTTGAAGGTGAAGTGAGTTTCCACAATGCCTGTAGTTTTAACTCTGGTCCGCAGAACATCCTGCTGAGTCGGAATATAGGTCGGCTGGGATATTCTATCCAAGTCATTTAGGTAACTAAACCAGAAGAGACAACACAAGATGCGCTTTTTTTAGTCTGCTTGCTTGTTATGAATCTTTTATAAACTGCAGAAGAAAGTCATCACGGAATTTATTCATCATCTTCACGTACTACAGACCCTCGAACATGCAGCGAACAAAGTCCTTTGGGTCTATCCCAGGGTTGATTTTGTTGGGTTTTGTGGCTTTTTTTTTTTAACCCTTCCCTCTATGACCTTGCAGCATGTGCTGGGTAGAGTTCAGCTAGCTGGGGAGTCAAGCCTGATAAGAAGCTAGCACAAGAAGTACTGCTGATGCAGAAGCCATGCCAAGACTGGTATCTCTTGGGGCAATTCAAAGTAGTCAAAGTCCTTCGCATCAAAGCGCAAGGCAGTAAATCCAGTGGCTTGCGTTTAAAGGGCAAGGATAAGTCAAATGAACCAGGAGGAAAGAATTAAGCATCAAGAACTAGCCCCAAACAGGTAAATTCATTCACCTCTTTTAGCAAGGGCAAACTAACACACAACCCACCTGGCTCCCCGACGGCATGGCCGCCGGAGGAAGCCATTTCTCTGCCGCATCAAGGCAATGCACCCATCGAGACCCCAACAAATTCCAGCTACAGCGGATTCCCTTTGTAGTTCGGCTCTCGGACACATAAGTAAGAGGTAAATACATCACTTCCAGCAGCATCAGAAATCCCTCTAGCCAGCAACACCTCTGAGCTCATTCTTCCTGTTAAGGGGAAGGCAACAGCCTCCTGCTTCCACAAAGCAGACAAGGATTGCTCCAGCTCCGTTGGGAAGAGACTTTGTGCACAGCTGCCAGCAGCATTATCCCTAACAGCTTTGGCCATGTCTTTATCAGGAGTGGTTTTTAATCAATACAGTACCGTGCAACTGTGAGATTTTAGTGGCACAACGGCTCTACAGTGATGCAATAAAGCTCGTCCTCCGCACCAAGCATTATCACAGATCCGCTGTCACTCCTTCCCATGCACCTGAAAGCTGTGCCAGGAACAGCAAATTTCCACGCACCTTCGTCACCAAGCAGGCAACATCGTGAGCGACATCTCCCTCCTTTGTCAGCTTCAGCATCTCCTCTGGCCAGGACTGCCGGCATATTTGCCGAGCGCTGACCTATTTTCTGAACCCCGGAAGAATCCAGCCTACCTGCCGGCCTCCTGCCCGAGCTCGCCCAGCGCCGCGGGGCTTTTCTCAATGAGCTGGTACCTGCAAGTAGTTTTAGCCCAGAAAGGGCCAACTCCCCTCATTCCTCTCTCATGCTCAGTGGGATGACAGGTTTGTGAACTGCTTTTTGACCAGAAATGCAGCACCCAAAACTTAGGCTTGGGACTGGCTTTAGCTTCAGCTTAGCCAAACAGAATTTGGAAAGTATTTACCTTCATTAGGCTTTTGTTAAGAAATATTTCTGCTGAGGAAATAACATGCCCAGATTTCCCCTCCCCACCTTTCCTACCAGTATGAGTTTAGCTGGAATATGGTGGTTCAAAAGCTGGTGGAAGTGCTACCTGAAAACTGACCCAGCAGCTCCTAACAGCTTGGCTTCGATATGGGTCACACAGCTCCCCTGAATCACTGAAGTGATAAATGTGCAAGCTGAAGCTGTAAAGCATCTGCTCCTAATTGCCAGCTTTCAGCATCAGAAGTTTGGGCAGTGAAAGTGGTATAATTCCTACTTAAGGCTTTTTAGGCAGCCAGTGAGGAGTGGAGTCAGGCAACTCCCACCAAATGAATTGCAAAGTGCCACTCAAATGCTTGCCCATCAATCAGGGGAGCAAGGTGTATCAGATTAAGTGGAGCTCTACCTGCAAGCTGCCTTAAAAAAAAAGCTTTGCCAGCCTAATTCCAGGGAGACTCAAAGGGCAAGTCCCATGGAAATGCCTACGCAGTTGGAAGATCCAGCACAGGGATTCTCGGTAGCAGAAGAGCGGCCCAAGCGCGCGTGCACGCAGCCTCTTCCAGCCATCCTCACCTTGCCAGAGGCAGTTGACTTTGTGGGCAGAAGCAGCAGCAGCCTGCCCACCCGACAAAACCACGCTGCAGAGCCCAGCCTGTGCAGACTGCCACTTGTTTCCCTCTACAGATTTAGTGGAACTTGAAAAAAACTGGAAAAGCACGGTCTGAGACTCATGGTTTTGAGCGACTCATAACCCCCAGCTTGCCACAGTCTGTCTGAAAGTTTGAAGATGTTCCTCACAAATATTGTTTCGGGAACTGAAAATATATACCTTGCTGCATCTCTCTACATCCCACGCAGTTTGAATTCCTTTTCACAATCTCCTTTACCACCAGGCTCCGTTCATATGCTGAGGTTGCAACACTTGTTCCCCACCTTGTATCCTTGTGTTTACAGAGCCAGCTATTTCTCACCTTGCAAATACAAGCTTGCAAAAAGACAGTTTTGTTTTCCTTCTTTTTTCACCCTTAAAATGAGGGCTCGAGTACAAAAAAAAAAGCTGACCAAAAGCCTCATCTTTGTCTCAGTGACCCTCCGAGCCTTCCCAGGACATCCTGTGCCAGGCTGGCACCGGTTCAATGCCCGCGTGTGCAAGGATCTGTAGTTCCAGTCTGATCAGAAAACCTGCCGGCTTCAGCGTCATCCCATCTCACACTCAGCCTGCTCTAAGAAACACTGACTGCAGGAGAGGGATGTTCTGAAGTGGACAGCTTTCAGCTGGTGAAGATAACAGACTTCCCCTCCTCCACATGCTCACATGAACCCTGGAATGGTATTTTCCTAACAATTCAGTCATGTTTCCTTTCAGCACTGGAAAGAATGCTTTCAAGGCCAAAAACGTCTCTGAAAGATTCATACAAAGCATTTATTATGAACGGCTACCCACAGCCTGAGCTACGGGAAGGAGGGGCCATCACCGTCGTGCCCCAGGGCAGAGCAGCAAACAAAAGCCAGTCTTTGCCAGGGAGAGGAGACAAGAGGGCAAAAAGATGCAGGTTTGGTACCCAGGTGGGTCAGTGTTTGCAGCCACCAAACACCAAGAAACATTATCACAAGCAGCTGTGCCAGTCTGAAAAAGCAGTATTCTTCCTACATAGGTTGACAGCTCACACAGAATTAATCATCTCTGGCCAAGTCTTCCCGCAGCAAGAAGAAAATAGGTGAAGATCTGGCAAAATCTATGTTTAAGAAATGCATTTCTTTTGTATGAGTCTGCCTCCTCTCTCCTCTGTTTAGGTAGATTTTGGCAGGTTAAGCAAAGCAGAAAAGAAGGTAACAGATTGTCAGGAAAAGGGAATGTTGTGCGTTACCTTTATCAACTTGAACGCTCACTTGGGCCAGCTAAGGCAGACCCACAGACGAAAAAGCTCACTTCACAAACTTGAGCTGCGATCCCAAGGTGGTGCTACTCGAGGGGAATCACAAAAAAGCACCAGGAGGACAATGCCCTGCAAGCTAGTGCTTGAAAGCCAAGAGGAGAAAAAAACACCCACACAGAAATAATCTAGGTTTTATCCAGCATCATGTCAGGGAATTCAGGCCAAAACTGCCACTTGGGGACAAGATGAGATATGCCAGAATAGAGAATGGTTAATCAGAAGCTATGCTAATTGCCTGTGAGACTGCAGATAATTACCTACAGTATCTGCAAACTGGTGTCTGCACGAACTTCAGAAAAAGTAGGAAAACCAGCAACTAAAATATTTTAAAGCATAATCTGCTTGCCAACGTTTCCAAGCATCAGACAGAGGTAATCGAAGAGACACGCAAGGCAGCGACATGCCTTTGCATCCCCACTGCTGCGCCATCAAGCAGGGTTTTTTTTTTTTTTCTTCGTGGCTATTACAGCAAGAATTGCACACAAAGGTCTGAAACGCTTCTCCACGGCATCGACTCGAGACGGGAGCGGGGAGCTACAGCCATTTGCTCACGTCAGAGGTGAAGAAAAATGGGAAGTTGCAATAAGGCGAGTAAAATTATAGATGTTTGAAATGTCACACCAAGTGCAGGGTGGTTGCTAAAGGGACATTATCAGATGGTGCCTGGAGCAGACGCTGAGCATTTACACTGGTGCTTGAACATCCGCAGTTTAGACCAAGAGTTACTCAACTGTTCTTCAAAAATAAGAAGAAAACATAGCAAAAAAAAGCTATGATTCCAGGACAGATCATTCGGACTAGTGTCACAAGTGGTTATCTTTGGGCACTTACCCCTGCCCGTCGCGTATGGATTATGACACACCGTTATTATAGTTGCTGCCTCTCCTCCCACACGGCCTCCTGCCTGCCGGGGCAGCTCTCCAACGGGCAGGATCCCTGCCTGCGCAAGGGGAAGTGCTCAGCGAGGCAGGGAACAGCAGGAAGAGAAGTTTTTCAGATCGGTTTGATGCTGCCCTAAAACTCTTGGCTCTCTGCCACAGCACTCTTCTTGATGCCATCTAATTTTCACAATCACTCACTCACACGTTCCTCTTTTTATCCTCCCCCTCCCTTTCTGGGCATCTCAGCAGAGGCCCAGAGATCTGACCTGAAGCAAGCAGCCGCACCCAGTAAGCCAGAACCGGGCTTGAAACGCAGCTCAATATTGGTTTTCCAGCTGAAATTCAGCCATCTCAAATGGGGCACATATTTAAAGGCTGCTAACCCTGGTAGGGGATATTGAAAGGTACAGGGAAGTGAAATTCCCCCAAGAGAACTGTGCACAAAAGCTGGTACCTATGTGGCCACCACCACAAAAAGGGATTGCAAAACATCCAACCTTTAAGCAGGAACAAGAGAACTAATTGGGTAACACCAGAAGATAAGGCAGGTCAGGAGTCACACGCTGAGCAGAGAGGAAAAAAAACCTGACTGAACAGTCATCTGGCCAGCTCGTTCTGTACACTGGCGAGGTGGGGGTCCTGCAGAAGAAAACAGGTCTTTACCTGCGTGATGGTGCTCTGCACTAAAGGAACCCACTTGCAGTGTTTCCTAACTGCCGAGTTGCTTGGCTACCGATTCAAAATAACACTGCTTTAGTGCAGCTTCCTGTGGTCTTCGGACGGGAAGCAAAATTCTGTGATGCACTTAACAGAAAAGTGCCACGTGGGTCGTCGTCAGGCTGAAATCTCTCTGCCACACAGATTTGACGCCAGCCCATGATGGCAATTCATCACAGGGGCTGTGACTACACCTACCAGTACCAGAAACTGGACACAAGAGCGTTGCAGAAATTCAGGAACAGGGATAACGCTACAAAATCCAGTCTCTGGAAGGCAGTCAGATCAAGTAGGCACCTCATAAGCAGGCTCACACCCTCTCTCCCCAGTCTGTTTGTCCCCCTCTCTGCCCTGTTTTCTCCAGCCTGTCTTCATTCTCCTTCTCTTTCAAAGGTGACCATCAAGACCACAAAGCCAAGGTTCCCCATCTTCAGCTTCCTCCTTAAGCTCCACTCAACCACTTACGCTTTCTGCCCTAGATCCTCTGCTCAAGAAGTCCCTAAGCTTTCCTTCTCTTCTCCACATGTTTCATTGATTCCCTCATTCATCCTCCTCCTCATCTATCCTTTTTTCTCCCTTTGAATCTGAAGTTTTCTCCTTGCATGCTGTAAAGGACAAGACGAGGCTTTCTCGGACTCGTGTCAACTGCCTTACCTTGATCTAAACCCATGATACTCTGTCAAGGAGTTACAAATTTTGAAAAATTCTTCCTTATTTTCAAGCTAAAATATGCTGTGTGCAGATAGAGCCTGCAGGCAACTCAGCTGCGATACATCTGAAGTTTCTTTTATAAAGTTTCTTTATAAAGCACTTCCAAACTCATTTTTCAAAGGCTTACAACTTGGCTGAATGGAGACAAGTTTTCAGGTGGACATGAGGAGGCATGCTTGACCCTAAAATCATCCTTTCCAAGTCTCAAACATTTGTTCTAGAGAGACCAAGCACACAACTTTAAAGAAAAAGCAGCAGCTGTTTTTCTCATTAAAAGAAATAGTTTCCCCTCCCTGCACTAACCTGCTTCTTGGAAACAGATGAGGCATTTAATCAAAATTCTCATTAACCAGCCAGCAGCAACCTATTTATCTAGTCATAACTTTCCAATTGCTAAGCAATTGTGTGCATTTTAGAAACAGAACAATAAGCAGGTTTATTGCTAGCCTGCAGCGCTGCCCGCGTGGTGGCAGGCACAGGAACAGAAGCGTAGTGAGAGCTGTTACGGAGAACAACTACGTGAATATTGATCTGCCAATATCAGGAGATCCCACTATTGGAAATCGTTGCTCATCACTGATTTGGTAGTTTAATCAGGAGCTCAGTTTCAGGAGATGTTACTCCTTTCTGTAGGGGTAATGAAGGTGACGTAGCTGATCACCTGCTGTAACAAGCCATCTTAATGCAAGCTGCTAAGTTATTCTTCCACTAAAAACAGATTGGCAAATTCACCTAGGCACAAAACAAGGAATGTGGTGGGATTTCCCCCCCCTCCCCCCAATACTACATACAGGGAAGACAACCAGTAAAACTGACTTTGATGAGCTACAGCAAAAAGTCACCTTGCGAGACCGGCCCTGTGTAAACCAGTTAGACCAGAGTTTCTGTCCACCCCCTCGGAAGGGGACCCTCACCATGCAAGTACCACCCCGCTTTCAGTCACACCGGCCCTTTCGGAACACCGTTTGGTTTGCTGTGAAGAGCCCAGAAGCTGGTAACGGTTTCTTACTATGATGCAGAGTCGTTAAGCTGATATTCTCGCGATCTGCTGAAGCAGGCCTGAACCCCAGCGTCCCTCCATAACCGCTTAATCACGCCAGCTAGCTCGGCGGTCATCACGCCTTCCTCTGCGCTTCCAGCTAATACAAACAACTGGCGGGCATCGTCCTGCAGGAAGAGGGGAAACCAAAACAAGTTAGGACCTACACCCATTTATACCTTTACAAGTTACAGCGAGGCTTAACATCAGTAACCATCCTAGGGGCTGCGGCAACTGCTCTAAGGAATCACGGTCCCCTCTCCCCTGCTGTCTATCCACTCTTCTCCCCCAAATCACTGCGTTATTTTCTTGCGGTCAGAAAGGCAAGTTCTGCTGGGAATCACCACTCCGAAGTAACAGGCACCATTCACACCCGAAATGGGAGATTTCCATCACCTGGCACAGTGTTTCAAAGGAAGGGTAAGAACATCAGTGTGCTACTATAGACTAACGAATTAAATGATAAACCGCAGTTTTTAAACTGGAAAACCTCTATTACAGCATTGTACAGTACGGCAACAGGGCAGAACGCAGTATCAAAAGCAAGTTGTGGATGATTATAGGTTTAAGGCTTTGAGGACTTGCCACTTGCTGCAATAGCTGTCAGAAGTAAGGGAGACCAATTTCTTAATAAAGCATTCATCAGGAGATGGGATGCACTGATGAGGATATGAGTATTTGCCTTAGAGCATGCAAAATTCTTCCCAGACGTCTTAGTGCAGGATCTCACTCTTCTACAACTTAACAAGATTTTGAAAGTGAAAAATCAGGCCGACCTCCATCCCACACTGACATTTATTTCTGCAGCGATCAGATCTGCCAGCTTCCTTTCGGGAGATGTAAGAGACTTTTCACTATCCCACCAGACTGTCTCCTCCTGACATCGGCTCCTCTCACTCGAGCCCTAAATCGTACCGCTCAGCACGTACCTGAGCTCGGGCAAGAGTCAAGTCCGTACCCTACTCCAAAGGGGTCTCTAGCACAAGCAACGGGCACCTAAACTAACTTAATCAAGGTCTGAACTGCCACCACACACAGGTGGACCTCAGTCATGAGTCTTCGCAGCTACAGCGCTTTTGGGTATGGTGCCACACCGACAGGTCACTGCTGTGGTTTGCTGCAAGACAGTCGGTTTGGTTACCCTTGGTCTTTTCCTAGGGAAGTGTGGCAAAGTTTGCCCTTCAGGGTGGACTAGGACATGACAAAATTCTTGGCACTCAGCGCTTGTTCTGCTTTTGTGAAGGCAGCTAAGCCTGGGCAGGTCAACTGAGAAAGGAACTTGGATTTTAATGTCTGCCTCCTTCCAGCTACGTTAGCTAGGCTGAGATCACCACTCAGCTTCGACAGGCACAGGGGAAAGGTGGAAGGGAACACCAGGGAGGATTTGGAGCAGCAGCTGAACAGCAGCCTAGGTTAACACGCAAGTGAAGATATGCCCTTTAGCCAGGATGCCTTATATCCTAAATTCAAAATATCTGTGGTTGTACCACAAAGAAACAGAGTAGGTTACTTCACTTACCGTATATTAACCGTAAGCACAAGGAATTCGTGCCAGATAGCAAGAGTCACAGGCTGTGCAGCCACTGCCCTACACCGATATACACAATTCCTTTCTCCTACACATTTTCAGGAGCCCCCGACTCCCCATTCTGTCTGCGCTTTCCCCACCACCACGAGGGTCAAGACTTCCTGACTTCAATTCCTGTCATCTTGAAGCGTTGAAGGTGACCGCTAGTAACAGCACAAGGAATCAGCAGAGCTGGATGGGTGGGGAAAAGCAGGGCCTCAAAGCCCCAAAAAACTAAGGGGACAAATACAAGTAGTGATAATTATTAGGATTTATTTGGCTCAGCTTAAAAATTAACTGGCACCATGCTGTGAAACACTACTGAGGACTGATGTCAAGCAATTTAAACAGAAACTGAGAATTTTGTTGAAAATTTAAATAGCTTAGACAAAGGTTACGGGATTATTTTTTTGAGCATTCAAAGTACTATAAAGGTTCTTACCTGTAACCTCAGTAAAATACTTGACATTTTATACTGGTAACACAGATTACGAAAGGTCTTTCACTGCTGTATGTTTTGTTACAAGATATTTCCACCATGAGTGTCATGGACTGAATTTCCAGGATTCATTAACACAATTCTCAGCAGACTCAGACTAAGGGAAATAAGTGAAATACTTACTGCTCTGGCAACTTCCCCAAAGTCTATCTTTAGCCTTCCCATGGCTCTTATGATTGCAATGATGGACTGGATAGTATTGCTGTAGACAACCACTTTATATTGTTTGCATTCTTCCTCCGAGTAGCCATCCTCATGAATAATCCTGGAAGAAAAGCAAGCAGTCATCCCCAAGCCAAACCAGAAGGGCACCACGGATTTCTTGTTTCGTCTCACACAAAAATGCGGTTTACATGCCTGCACTCTCACTTACTTCATCTGCTTCACAATGGTGCTTTTCCCAGACTCTCCAGCACCTGAAACGCACAAAAAAAATTCCAGTTAGCAACCCCATGAAATTAAAAGGAAGAATGGAATGTACGCTTCCCAATTCCCACACAGAGGTTGATGGGGTCTGGAGTAAGATACTTCTTGGCTCTTGCTGCTGGCCCAGCCCCTCAGGAGGGATCGCCGAAGAGCACATCACAGGTACATCCTTCCCAGGTTTTATTTACAGACGTTGATGCTTACTACACGTTCATCTCCTAAAAAAACAACCTAGAGATTCTGGGTTTCCAGGGTACACTTCCTGAGCACTGAGGCTAGTCACCTGGGCAGCAGGTCTGAAAAACTGGGATGAGGATTTACCTGATAGACCATCTACCATCCCTCTCTTCCAGCTCAGTGACTACAGTCCAAGGTAGCCCTACGGCTAAGTGCATCAACATCATCAGCTGCTACCCACCATTACTGAGCCATGCAAGATAAAAGCATTAGCCCTGAATAACCAGGTGGCTGCAATCACAGATCCCAGAGCATTTTTACAAGGAACATCTAATTTGAAAGCAATCTCCTGTGATATACAGTGGAAGGGAAGTAGACCCAGAACGGAGCTCAAAAGCATACACAAATTGCTCTTGCAGATCCAGAGGAAGCGGCTTAAGACATTAAAGCCCAGAACATGTTACTATGTCAGAGCAGGAACATCATAATGGATCTTCCAAGTTCCCTTGTCCACTTAGCACAAAGTCAGCCAAACATTGCCCATAATCAAACTAATGCATTTTTTTCCCCACAGTGGAAAGACGAGGTGCACTCCCGCGATCCATTACTACAGCGTAGTGGTAAGCACACCGATATCACTCCCCAGCTGGATACCTCTCAAACAGCTCCGGCAAAATTCAAAAGATACCTGTCTAGACCTGAAGTGGCAACTAAGGTGTCTGTGAATCACCAGCAGGAAGATCAGGGACCTGGGTTCCTGGTCTAATCCTTCAGCTGCCAACACTGGTTCCCAGAGCCACTAGACAACTTGGAGATCTTCACCACGGCATAGCCTACGCAGCCACCCGCGGAGCACGCAGGGCCAATGTTAACTGTTTAACAAGCTCTATTCTTTATCATTTCCCACAATATAAGGATTATTATTCCGGGAAACCGAGGACAAAGAGACCTGCAGGTTCAGCTCGGAAAGGAGCCTTTGCTACAGGATGATTTCCAGTTGAAATGTCAGACCTGCAGGCTGTGGCACCCGGACACGCCTGCACTCTGAACAGCCTTCCTTCAAAGAAGGGCAGTTAAACCTGGCTTGCCAAACCTCTGCAGACCTGGCGGGGGCTGAGTTCTGCCTGTCTTTCTGCGAAATAAGAGCTAGTTCGTCTGTTTTTTACAGCTTTTGCTCTTGAACTACAGAGCACGCCCAAGCCACGTCCCCCTCCCACAGGCACGAGGCAGAAACCACCTTTGCAGACTCGCGCAGCAGCCGCACGCGCAGCTCGGTGCGGCAGACGCCTACTCCGGCATTGAAAACCGTCACGTTAGCATGGTTTACTGAGCTCTGCAGCCACCAGCAGCCGAGCTGTCCTGCCTGCACGCTGCCTGTCCCAGCCGCGAAGCACGGGGAAGGCACGCACGGCGTTACTGCACGTCAGCAGAAGCATGGGTCCTGGATTACTCCGTGTGACCGCGACACCGGGAGTTCACTGCAAACGAGCCGGACCAGCCGCTGGCTTCAGGGCTCCTCAGCCTAAAAGGCTCACTCTGAGCTGCAGAACTGGGTTTGCTGAAGGCAAAGGAATGAAGTTGAGCCTGCCTGGATTTGGATATATGACTCAAGAGATCCTGGATGGACTAAAAGACCCAAGCTCCCGTTCACATCTAGCAGCAAGGCACCAGATGTCCCAGCCTGCAGAGTCTACGCAACCCAGCAGCGTGCTAACCCAGAATGGCATTGCTACAAGCAAGGCGAGCTTTGCTGGAAGAGAAAAATCATTTTTAAACTATCAGACCAACAAGAAACAAACAAAAAAGACCAGCTTTCATGAGTGTCAGGCTGTGAAAACCGGGCTGTGACATACATCTCCAGAAAAAAAAAGCAGAACAGTTTCCTGGTGCTACCTTTGGGAAGCAAGGCTTCCAGGAAGGAGCTTCCCAAGCCTCTCTCAACAGCCAGAGAGGACAACACTGCACTCCAGTCTCATTCTCACATCCTTGAAGCCTCAGGAAGGCCATCTCCTAGAAACAGCCCCACGAACAGGGTATGAAAGCAGCAACGCTTTTTAAAAAGCTGAATTCTCTTCCCAGTCTCACGACTTCATGGCAGAGGAACCAAGAAATCAAGCCCTTGAAGACAAGAAGTTGCTTTACTGGGTTTGTGTGTGCAATAGGTACAAGCTACTTCCTTGCTTGAAATCTTGTACACCTTTTAGTCTGCTTGTTTCACATTCCTTCAGGTTCTTTCCAGTATCACTAGTAAGGCCCTTTTGGCTGCTAAGGGAATGAAAAGTACTGGCAGGACGGTGCAGGTCACAGCAGCGGCTGGGAAGGAGCAAACACAAGGGCTGCTTTTGAACAGTTACACAATAGCCAGATACAAGCGTTTCGTTCACCGGCGGCGAACACGCTGTGCCAGCCTGAGCCCAGACCTGCCGCTGGCAATCAGGACTGAACGAGGACAACGCAGCCTTTACAGCCTTGCACTTGTATTTCCCCTCCCAAGTTCATCCTGGTCAGTTCCCAGATGTTGACGAGGATTCCTGAGGATCCACTGCTGTATTAAATTACAACGGAAAGTTTCCCCAACATCAGGCAAGGCTGTTTTCAAGCTGAAGGTGCGTTTCCTATTTGCACTTAGCTTCAAACCACACAAGCGGCCAAAGATTTTTACGGCTCTGAGTGGCTGAAGAGGGCAAATGCAAATCAGCCTCTTCACACAGCAAGGGCTTTTACAGTAGGACAAGCACTTTCGTGGCAGGTTCTGGGGCTGCCAAATGGGAGGAAATTCAAGTCAAACGGTGCCTTAACTCGTTATACCCATTTGCAGGTGGTGTGGGGGTTGTACCTCCATCATGGGGTGGCTGGACCAGGATTTCTGCTTCTTTGGATCCGCTTTGCACAGGAGAAGAAAGGCAACAAGAGAAAGACGCTGGTGTTCAACAGCCAAGTACCCACTGCCTCTCCTGCACAGCTCCTGGGGGTGCCACAGCCGGGATATACATCTAAGAGCACTGACACCTTTAAATGTTGATTGCAGAGATACCGCCTTGAGTTTATCTCTCTCGACATCCCCCTCAAGGGACTGTAACACTAACAGCTGCCCCGAACAGTAGGAAAACTGTTTCCAAGATAGGGCATGTAGTGCAATTTAAATCAATTAGCCTTTAGTTTAGACTGAAGGCTTACCAGATTAGAACTTTTCATGACAAAATGCTTCCAGGCTGCCAAGTTAAATGTCTGGAAACCAAAGAATTTCAACTTTTAAATCATTCCTAAGCATAAGGCAATTCAATATTTTTTTTTTTTTAATTCCCTCAAGCCTTAAAGAAAAGCTACTGCCGGTTCAGCCTCAAGTAGAGCAGGCAATATAAACTAGATTCCACCTTCAAAGCCATTTAAGCAGCATTAACAGGGATGAAAAATGAAGCGTGTTTTCAGCAGAATCCCCCAAAATCTGGGGAGATGTTGGAGTTAACACCTTCCACCCAAGCAAATCCTGTGCCTGAAGCACACGATGCCAGCAGGGCTCTCGCTGCAGCCCGCAAACAGACTCCATCCAAAACCAGCAGCCTGCAGGAAACATCCTGCCCTTTAGCAGGCGGGTTTTCTTTTGTTATCGCCTCCTCTCCCAGCTGCCAAGACGTCTGCGCCTCTCCTTGGGCTGGCACGGATTTTCACAGAGATGGCATCAAGAGTAGCTTGGGAATATCTGCGTGCTCCCGCTACGGCTTCTCAGGCGCTCAGCACGGCAGCATTCACGGTCAGATGTGAAAACACTAGTGGTCTATAGACCCTGGAACACAAAACCTCGTTTTTATTTTCCACAGCCATCTTCCCCATTCCCCCATATTAAGGTGCTGCGGTTTGAAAGCTTCGGTGCCCCGAAACCATGGCATTCAACCCAGAGTCCCAACAGCGGGAATTTAGAAGACTTTTGAACACAAGCTCTCTGGCTTTTCTTTCGCGTCATCATATTTGCTGTCATTTCCTCCTTAGATTATCTTAAAATAATCTGCTGCTGCAGCAGGCAATGCTGAACTTGTACTACCTGTCATTTGACTGACAAAACAATGTCAGATACAATTATGCCATGACAACATAGCCAAGTTGGTTATACAACACTAATTCAAACCATATTCAGTTAACTCCTTCCCTTCTCATTTCCAACCCCCACACACTTCAGTGGAGTTTTAATCCACACTCTCTGCAGAAAGGGTGCTGGTTACTCACCCTGTTACTCCTAAGGGACTAGCAGAGGTAGGAAATAGCAACCCACACCCCCTCAGCCTCTCCCCTTACCAACACACAACCCAGAACTGCTCCTACTGCAGATACTAATGGCAGTCACAGCTACAAGGGCACAGCCAAGCAGTAAATCACCTCCTCTGGGACGTTATTCCTAAAGGAGTTTTTCTTGATGTTCCAGGTCCTCTCCCAGACTCACTCTCTACTCCTGCAAGAGCCATCCAGACCAGGTACCTCATTAAACAGTCATTTAAAAACGTCTGCCCTCCAGCTCCGTAATCATTTGCTGGGAGCTCCTGCTGGGGTGGCAGCTGCTTGCCGACGAGATGGCCAACGTCAGGCACGGTCTCATCTCAATTGCTCAGAAAAAAAGAAAAGCATTAATGCTGCCCTGGTTTATTCTGAGATACCTATACTACATCCTCCCACACAGCATAAGGCTTTTTCAGGAGCCTCTCTCACTTTATGCTGTTGCTTTTACTCTTATCTTACCCCCCACCCCAAACAAGGTCCACGATTATTTGCATTTTACTCTTACTTTCCAGCCCAAGCTTCAACATCTCCAGGTCTCACTTCT